AATATTAAATGTATTTATTTATTTAATGATATTTAAAAATTATATAAAAAATAATATAAAAGATTTTTTCTATATTATCACTCTTAATTTAAAACCAAAACATAAAACCATAGGCCACAACTAAACCCCAAATTTGCAGCATATGTGGCAAAAATATAATAAAAAATAATTTTAACTACCGACGGTCATGCAATTAACGGTCCAAATTAACGCATGTAGAAACGGTGTAAAGAAAAGGACGACAATGAACAAAATGTAGGCAGTAGGGGGACGACATTTGGTGTGATTTGAGAGTAGAGGGATGACAATGAACAAATATGCAGTAAGGGACGGTTATGAACAAAATTTAAAAGTAGAGGGATGAAAGTTGGCTATAACCCTTTAATTTCTGACTCATTAGTAGCTATCATGTCCTGATGTCTAGAGGGGATTACAAGGACCCATTTCACGTGCTGAGCTCGAGACTCTCACCGCCTAATCTGCAGGGTCTGATGCTGGTAAAAAATTGTACATTTTCACCCACTCAATAATTGTACGTTCATACAGTGACATACTGATATTTTCTGTCTTTTATGGGCTAATAATTGCTTTTTCTGAGTTGTTTTTCCGGACTTCTGCATAAAGTTGTTCCCTGCTTAGCTTTGCTGGAAGGCAGGCAATGCCACTAGCATTTTGAAAACGTGGGTATGCTATTGGTAAATGGCAACTGGCGAGAGATAAAGGCATCCAAGGAAGAGAAAAATATCTGAGGAGAGAAACAATAAAAGTAAAAAAATCACGACATATTATAATGACAATTGGGGCCAAGATGTATGCGTTTGCTTTTGTCAATGGTGAAAATTCTAATTCATGGGAAAGACTGGATGGCAGGCTAAAACATATATTTACACTCTCACTTTATAAAATTGAGATTATTTTAATTTATATTTTTAAGATATATATTAAAAATTATAAAAAAACAAAAAAATAATACTTAATTTATTAATTATATAATTAAATTTATTTATATAATATTAACATTAAAATTAAT